GGAAAGAAGGATGTTAGCATGTAAAGCTCCTCTGGAGCATTAAAACCTCACTCTCTCGATCTGTATATTAGGAATGTATTTATACATAGGGAAGGTCTACATCTTCAGACATATTTGCAACAAAAGCACTTATTTTAAAATACATTATCAACCACGTGGTCTAGCAGAGTGCATGTCATCCTAAAATATGAAACTGGGAGAATAGTTCAGAGCCACAACCAAGTTCCTTGCTCTACTACACCCTGGCAATCCCGCTCAAATCAAGAGGCAGAACTCAGCCAGTGATCCTCTCCTTTCACCACAGCTAGTTTTCTTCCCCTCTTGGGGATGCTGACTCTAGAAGATACTATTTAGTTACCTAACCTTTGTTTTAAGGCAGACAGTGGTAAAGATTCAGATCTCAACTGGGCTGAATCAGTCCTTTAGTCTCTGATTAACTGAACAGTTAACATTTTTCCAGTATGAACATGGTGAGCCTGAAGGATCCTGTAACATCAGGCACAGCAACTATTTATGTGAAGAGAGTGAATTAGTTGACTGCCAACTCTCACCACTGAGACACAGCTGCATTTCCGAGGGGGTACGACTTGCATGTCCCTTCACAAAGGTTTCTGAATCACCAGCCGCATGTTAGCAGGGCAATGTTTCTCCCCTTTATTTATGTCCTACAGAAATGAAAAAGTTGCATATACCACTAAGACATAAAGATACTTTGCATCCTGCCAGCTGAGGAAAGCAAGTATCTTTAGGTCTGTACCTACATAAGGATGACAAAGCCACACTTGCACAAAAGCTGACCTCAGTCCACAGGGAGCTATCGGTATGAGGTGCCTCCCCAAATATCAGCATTTCCTTTGGCTCTCTGGATGCAGCTTTACACATGCACACACACACAAAAAAGCATGCAGCGCAGGAAGTGGCCTTTCACTCTTACTCGATTAAAAAAATGCAAGGCTAAGAACATTCTCAGTTTAGGCTTACAGCACCAAAATACCTCGAGGCTGGACCACCCTAACAGGGTCAGCTCTTCCCAGATCAAGCCTGCATGCAAACAGCTGCTGGGCTGCTGGTTCAAACTGCTGCAGGAGCGCCAGGATCAGAAAACCAGGCTGAAATGCCACATATGCTTAGAAAAGCATGGTCCCAGAGGAAATACAGTCTGAGGTGCCTTTAGAAACCAATGAGGAAGGTGGGAAATGCCCTCAAAGTTGCTCAACTCATGCAAAACAGCCATTCCTCTAGAGTCAGCCAGGGGCTTTCAGAGTACAATCCCTTCCTTCAAATCCAGGAATACCAGAGTGAAACTGTTGGCACACTAACAGAACAACGCAGGATGAAGTGTCAGGAGTCTGTGGATAACACCTGGCTTTCCACTTCCTTCACATCATGCACCGGCAACACTTGCTGCCAACACGCAGCCAGAAATCAATCAGCACTGAGGTAAAGAGCATCTGGCTGTCACTCAACATTAACTGACACTGTAAGCAGAAGCGGGGCGGGGGGGCGAATTTAATCAAGTTTTCCTCTTCCATGATACCCAAAGATGTACATGTACGTACTACATCAGCCTGTAGCTTTAGGCACTTATTTGGACATCCAGGCTCCTGCCTGTGCCGATCCACGGATTCAAAACCTCCCGATGAGCTTATCGTATCATCTCTCTAGGAACAAAGACGCACACCCCCCCAAAAAGCTTCAAACTGGTACAAAACGCAGCAGCCCATCTGCTTCACAAAAACGGTTGCCATGAATACATCCCTACTGCTCTGCGCCTATTTTTAAAGATACTTGGGAGGCAACTGAATTCACTGGCGGTTGCGCTATTTAAGTATCTGGATTAATACTATTCAAGGAATATACCGGTACTTCTCTGTGGGAAATACAGCACCTGCCTGGCCTACACCTGGCTCAGATGCATTTTCAGAAGACCAACTTCTGTAATCCAGCGGGAGGGCGATAAACTCGCAGAGAATAGATGCTTTTCACACAAGAGCACTGTAAACTGAACCGGGTGAGTCTTATCCTCAAAAGCCCCGCCAGAGCATAAGGAGACTTTACAAAGGGAGGGGAAAGGACAAGTGAAAGGAAATTTACAGCTGCAGCTTTAGTCACCAAAATACCCATGGTTTAATGCAAGGCCTGAGCACAGCAAGCGTGGAAAAAGGGTACCTGCCTGCAAGAAAAGAAAACCAAACCAGAAAACCCAATAGAGGCAGATCCCCAAAGCCAAATGTGCTGACAGGACCTGGACCTTTTCCAGAGTGCCTTGAATTCCTAAGAGCTTAAGTCTTAATGCATTTCAGACAGGTTCCCCTCCAGCCAGGCTGCTTTGTCCCAGCCTGGGCAGAGGTGTGAGCAGCTCACAGCTGGGGAGGGAGGGTCCCGGCCCAGGCTGTGCCCCACCGGACCCACAGCACCAGGCTGCAGCAGGTACCTGCAGCCCAGGCTGAAGTAGACTTGGGAGGAGGACAGGCTGACAGGGGCTGGCAGTACAACCTCCCACTTCTGCTCTGCTCACAAGTCAAATTAACCTGGTGCCACCTAGTAACTCATTGGATATATCATATCCCCACCTCTCACCAGATGTGCACAAGCTGCCAAGTAAGTCTATTGTAAATAACCTGAAAAATCTGTCTCTGGAGATTCTTGTATTCTCAGACACCACTCTTCTTTCCACATCATAGGTCACTTAAATGAGAAAAAAAGAAAACTGATTTAGTGTGTCCTATGAAGGGTTCCTACACCTACTTCTCCCCACTGTTTACAGACTCCAAACAACATGGGACACCTTGTTCAGATCAGTTCTCTGAAAACCCAGGGTCAGAAAGAGCTACTGGTCTGCTCAGTCATAGCCGCATATCTCCTATTGCCACAGGTCACAGAAGAAGCCCAAATCAATTGGGGAGCAAACACCGGACTTTTTTACATAAGCAGCACATAACATGAACTGACAGACATTACAACCTCAAATGCAATTGTTTTTGGAAGTGGTTGATTTCAGAGAAACAATCACGGTTCCTAAATAATGTACAGTCTTCTAACACAACACGGACACAGCATCTCCTTCCCTTTTATCTTTTCCCAGATCCAAAGAGTATCAAAAAGGTCACGGAAATGACTAGAGGAGCATAGAGCAGAGCCAAGGCATGATCTGGGAGCCTTTCCACACGGTCACTCTTCTCCTCACCGCTCCTGGAAATTCATCCCTCCTGAAGTTTCTCTAACTGCAACAGGGAAAAAATATTTGGAAAAGGTCAAATGACTCAATACCACTGAGACCCGTAACTTCTCAAGCAGGAACAGGTTTCCATGTGCTTTCAGTTAGAGTACAGACAGGTTAGGGGAAAGGCAGCAAACCCAACAGCCTACTTCCCCTTTGCTCATTTATAAGCAATCAAGCTGGTTGAGAGTAATGTATGTGTTTGGTTTCAATTACAGATGATTTCGCTGCTGGAACACATCTGCAACGCACCGCGCTGAGCAAACT